CAATAATTGATGAGCAAAACAAACGAAACAAAAAACGATTCTTTCAATGAAAATCCCCATATATAAAATGCTAAACACGTTTTTCTTTTTTCTTTTCATTTTTCTGTTTTTCAAATTTTTCCTTTCAAACAAACAATTTTCATTTCCAATCAAATGGATATGATCAATTTTTTTTGTGGATATTTTCCATACAATTACACACACACGTACATATATTGTAATACAGGTAACGCCATCTATCCAGCGATGATTGCAACTTTTTCCTTATTATTAAAATTCATATACCCAATGATAATGATATTTGATGATTGATTTGATTTGGATCAATTGATGCTGTGTGCGTGTAATTTAGCCAAACAAAAATCTATTCGGATTCTTTATTGAAATTCCATTCAATTCTCGCTTGGTAAATGAGGAAACAAAAATAATCGAACAAATCGATCATTTTTTTTGTCTGAAATCGATTCGCTCAAAAAATGAAAAAAAAAGATTATTTTTCTTTGAATTCTGTTGTTGTTCAGCTACAATCATCATTATTATTTTGGATTTCGGTTCTTGGATTTCTCTTTTCCAATCTTTTTCTGTTCTGCTGTGCTTCGGATGACAATAATTTTCACCATTTCATTTTTCTCGGCTTGAAATTCTTCACACAGAAGTGAGCTTTTTCTTTCTTGGTTAATCCCTTTTTCTTTTTTCCATGGTTATCTATCCCAGTTAACCCTGAGTGTGTGAAAAATAATAATAATAAGAAAATCTAACCCCAACCACCACCACAAATGAAATTGTTATGCAATGATGATCGGATATCTCACACTCACAAACGGAGAGAAAATAATTGATTATCATCATTATCATTCAATAATAATAACCAAATAATATCGATTCTTTTTCGAAAGTTTTCTTTCTTTCTAGAAAACTTCTAAGAATAAAGAATTAAGGAATGAATTCTTTTCGTTTCTTTTAGCCATCATATTGAATAGTAATGATTTTCAACAATTCAGTCAGTCAGTCAGTCAGTCATTATTCGCATAAGGATTTCAATCTCATTATGGTGGTTTTTCTTTTGCTGGTATCCGTTCTTCAAAATACTTGAAAGAAAAGGTTTTTTCACTAGCTTCTTTTTCAACTAGCTACAGAAAATCTAAACAAGCAAGAGTTAGAAGCAAGGAAAAAAAATCGATTTTCAAAATTTTCATAAAATTCGATCTTTCAAGAGTTTTCTTCTGCTTGTTCTTTAGCTCACTCATAATAATAATGATGACATTTTTTTTTGGAATTAAGGGAAGCCAAGCCAATTTGTTAATTTGTTCGCAGCAGCCAGTAGATTTCTCCTAATCATCAGTCAAAGATCATAAAAAAAAATCTTTAAATCCAATAGTTTTTGATCGAAGAAAATCGATTTGATGACAAGTATTTCGTTTTCTTTGCTGGATGACAGTTTTTGAAAATTGGCCAGAAAAATTCCATGACTTTTACTCAATCAATCAATATTCTCTGTCTGTGTGTGTGTATCTGTGATTGGAAAAACAGAAAAACAGAAAAACTGACAACGCAAGCAGAAAAAAACGAAAAACAACGAAAAAAACCTAATGAATAAATGATTAGCTTTCGACTTGAAATGAAATGTAAGAATTTAATTTCAACTTGAAATGAAATGATGATCATCATTATCATTTGCTTCCTATCTTGATAATGGAAAAAGTCAAAAAACAAAACAAAAAACAAAGCAAAAGGTTCATATAACCTCTGTTTGTCTTTGATTTTTGATTGACAATTTTCTAAATGAAAAATTTTCATTTAATCATCATTTTTTTTTTCTAATTTTGTCCAAAGATTTCACTTGAATGAATTTCTGAAAAACCAGAATCCAAAATGATAACCTTTTCTTTCTTTTTTTGACTAAAAATCATCATCATTAGGTTTGTTTGTTTGTTTTTCCTGCCTTTTTTTCAATCAAAAAAAACGAATTTCATTCTGGATAAGATTCTGTAAACAAACAAACAAACAACTTCAAGGAATTCAAAATGCAAATCATTTCTTCTTTATCATTTTTTTTTGGCAGAATCCAGAATCCAGAATCTCAATATGTCTGGTGGTGATGGTGGAGTGTTTGTATTTTCATTTCGCAAATCTTTTTCTGTGTGCGTTTTTTTTGTGCTTGTCGAAGCACAAAAAAAAACTTTTCAACGACAAAAAAAAAAACTTTAATTTTAAAATCTCAAAAATCAAAAAAAAACTTTTAATTCTCATCATCATCATCATCATCGAGTGGTGGTTTTTCACATCCCATTTCTCGCTGTTGTTGTTGTTGTTGTTGATTCATGATTTTCAAGATTTTTATTAATTTTCACTTTCACAATTTAAACCACCTGGTTCAGTGTGTAGAGTGCGACACAGAGAGAGAGTAAACGAATATATTTTCCGATTCAATTCACCAGAAAAAAATCAATTTTGATTTTTTTTTCTTCGTTTTAAAATTGCCAAAATTTTGTTTTCGTTTTAATCGTTGTTGTTGTTGACAAATTTTTTTTTTCACTGAATGAAATTATATTCAGGTTTTTCTCGCCAATATTTTCTTTTTGGCAAACGGGTATTCCGGTAATCATAAATTATTTGTCAGGAAATTTTCCCTGAGAAATTTCTTTGGGAAAATTACGGGTATTTTTCGGATCCATCATCAATCGAATCGAGGAACGAAATTCAACTTTTTTTCCCGAAACAACAACAAAATGAAAAACTTTTTTTTTTTTTTTTTTTTTTTTTCCCAATGGATTCATCATCCCCTTGATCATTTTGTTTTTTTTGTATCCAATTGGACCTTGCT